AGCGGGCCGATTAACAGATTAGTGCTGAAGGAAGCAAAGCTACCAGATGAGTCTGTGATGCTATGAAGGTAAATGATTTGTTCTTAGCGTGGCTTTGTTTGCTAATAGTTTCAACAGTGTCAGCTTCTGCACCGCAGACCTGTTTGCACAGGATCGACCCTTTAAAGGGACTGAGGGCTCTTTGAGAACACAAAGAGGTTTCCTTTGCGTTGAAACTCACTGACATAAACTGAAATGAGATGGCAGTACTTGAACCACCAAGTACTGCCATCTGATTTCCACCACTTGAACTCTTGGGTGTTTTTTGTACCCAAGATCTTGCAAAAAAGGGCAAATCCATAATCAAGTGGATGTCAAAATCAATTTTGGTTGTTTTTAACCCAAGGGCTGGGTAAATACAGGACATAACACATGTTGGGTTAATATTACCCAGCAAATTGGGTTGTTTATTTCATCCAGCATAGTGGGTTGATTTAACCAAGCATAGATTATTTTTTACTATACTTTAAAAAAAAAAAAACTTGATACATGAATTAATGTCTACAGACTAATTTAAATAATATACACTTTTTTTTTAAATACTTGATACAACCATTGGCTTGCATGATAATTCCTTTATTTTCAATCATATTTTACAGTATAGTATATCATTTTTATTATAGGCTATTGCCAATAGTTAAGCAAATGTTAGTAAAAATAAAACATTAATGAGTAATTTACGTGTAAATGACCAGTCTCTGTTTGTACTTTCCTGTCCATAAACAATCAGTGTACAGTTCTGAGAAAACATATTAACATCACACGCATTTATATTCTGTATCTTTTTGAATAAAATCATAACATACAAGGCATAAGGTGTTTCAATCACACGAAAAGATCTACGCGACACTCGTTTAGGTGACTCGATCGCACCCCTGTATGTTGCTTTGAAACTAAACGATATATACAGCACAACAACGCATATTCATATGAAATAAAATGCACGCAAACCTGTACTTTCCCGAAAGACAATTTGACGGAGCTGCACTGCTCTCTCCTGATGGCAAAAAGCCCACGATAAATAACTCAATCCATGGGTTGTTACGTCTGACCCAGGATCTGGGTAACACAAAAACTACCCAAATACTGAAAAATACACTCTTAGTAGAAAAGGTTCTATATAGAACCTTAAAAGGTTCGTATTTGGAACCCCTAAAAGGTTCTATACACTATTAAAAAAAGGGTTCCTCTGGGTTCTATATAGAACCCTGGGGTTCCATACTTGGTCAATAGAACCTTTTACCAAAAAAATGGTTCTATTTTGGAGTTCCATATATGAAGCGGGGGATGGAACCATTTCTGGTTCTAAACCATTTCTTATAACCCAAAGAAAATGACCCAAGAGGTTCAACCCATGATTTGGGCAGAAAAAAACAACCCAATATTTTTTCAGAGTGAGGAAAAATAACACAATGTGCTTAAATTGGCAAGGATTTAAGTCTGAGAAACTCAAATTTACCAAAACTCCTCTTTTCTTAATAAGACTAGAGTTGATAATCAAGTTGACCTTTTAATATGACCTCTCTGGCAATCTGTTTCACCACAGTGTTTTGCACATCAACGGTCTCCACAAAAAGTGGAAAAAAGCCAACAGCTCTGCTGATTTTAGATGAGACGGACCCAATTCAGTGCATTAACCAGCGGATTAGAGAGTCACATACTGTGAAAGACCTTCACACATCCCAGGACCCGGCAGTTAAGCGTTCCTGAATGGGATGAAGAGAATCACACACAAAGCTTCAGCGTCACTTTTGGATCGGCGCAGGCGTGGTTTGGCGTAACTGACCGCAAATCTGTAAAGAACTGTATAATGAACCATATAAAAACTTTACAATTCCCATATAAGTCTGTCGTGAAGCTGTAAATGATTGGATATCATGGGGTTTGCTTTGACTCGACATTAACTCTGGGGCTCTTCGGTCGGAAAATTTTACGTTTTGTCTTTTTCGAATGTTTTACTTCATCGGAATGGGACGAAACTTGGTAGAGATTTTGCTATGTGAACACACACACACACACGGAAATGATTCGTCACACTTGTGTTCCTCGTAACCAAAAATGACGTCATTGGAAATGAATGGTAGACGAATATAATCTAGTGGAACCGTTTGGTACTGCGGCCAAACAAAAAGCTAATTTTTTGAGATATCAACCTCAAATTTGAAACAAAACTTGTTTAAATTTATGACTTTGATTTTCTTGCAGTTTTAATGTCAATTTATTTTTTTGAAAAAATATGTTTTATTAAAAACTAAATAAACAATAAACCTAAAATTCTGTAACTTTTATAAGTTCACTTTTTTGTGTGTGTGAAAAGTGTCATCTTTAAAACATTCAAGATTTAAGACAGTTTAAGTTGGACAGTTAAATTTTCAGGTCTACGCTAAAAAAGTGAATAGATGGATTATAAATATATAATTTTAAATGGATTATAAATACAGTGTAAATATCCTTTCATGAAATCACCTAAAAAATACAAAATATGACATTAAAATCATTATCAAACTATTATAAAGTACATTTATTTCATTGAAAATAAAACATTTATAAAGTATATTTATTTAATTGAAATTTCAATAAAATTGAAATTATTTCAATTTATTTCATTGAAATAATAAAAATAAACTATTTTATCAAACTATTCTTGTGGGGTAACACTGTTTTAAAGTGACACAAACCAATCAATACACCTAAACATCACATTATTCTTCACATGCATTGTTAATGCCTACTGATGTTTTCCAAACTTAATGTAACTTACTGGAAGATGATGTCATTAAGAAAGGGAAAAAGATGGAAGTGAAAAACGGATTATTTAAAACTAAACCGAGACATTTCATACAGACCCTTAAACGCACTTTAGTATACTTTGAATATACTTAAGTGCGAACTGAATGTAATGTTTTCAGACACAAATAACTGCATGTTAAGTGCCATTAAATAAAAACTGGTAATAGTTTCACATTTATAAGTCAATTAGTTGAACTTAAGACTAAGAGTGCTTATTGGACCCACTTAAGTACAGCATGCGTTTTCATAATTACTTGTCTTTGAAATATGTTTAAGTTACTGCTGAATGACAAGCATTTACAGTAAAATAAAATATACTTTAATTTTGTCTTGTCATGTAACTGAATGACAATTTAGTAAGTTTAAAATATATGAACTTTAAATATCAAATACACCATTGAAATTATACATGTGCTTTAGCATGTTAGCCAAGACAAAATAAGAGCACTTCTTTACTAAAACACAACAAAAGATTATTAAAACATAATGGCTTAAAATGCAGTGTAATGTGAAACATTTAAAAGTGTGTTAAGAAAGTGTCTCTCTCAACTACAAGTTGTTATGCTTTTAAGATTTGAAGTATACACAAGAGGAGACCAGGAAAAAATGAAGAAGCAACTTAATTATTCTTAATCTAAAGGAGTTTTTCATGCTCAAAATGGTCATAAATGAAAATGCACAGACAAGAACAGACTGTAATGCACCAGAAGCTCTCCGAGTAGATATCCGTCCAGAGAGCGTCACGCTGAGCCGTGCGTTTCTCTGCATGGGTGGCCTGGTTTGGTCAAGAGAGACACCACTGTCAGCTTAAGGCGTTTGTTTCCATGGCGAGGGGGAGGACTTGGGAAGCTATCTGGCTTACTGGAAGCGTGGTTTATTGTTGACTTTCGGGAAGGGGGTGGAGGAGAGCTGTGGTGGTGTTTGGGTTTGTGAGGTGTCTGTCTCAGGTGCCTGAGCTGTGTGTGCCATTCAGGTCAAACAAAAGACAGCTGGATGTGTGATACGGACAAACACACACGTCACCCTTCGCACCTTTCACCTGATACCCCTGACAGCACTTCACAGACCAGCCAGTGCGCTTCATCAAAGACACAGGCACTATAACAGGCCAACTGAAGTCAATGATAAAGTAGTTCGTGTGAAAAAATATTTCACCCTCATGTTGCATCATTGTTGTGGGCCATACAAAGATAACTTTTACAGCTATTTTCCCACAAAAAGTGTATTAGTCCACTTGGTCATATCTTTCCTTCTTCAGTCGAAAAGAAAATGGGGTTTTTGAGGAAAACATTGCAGGATTGTTCTAGAGGACTTCAATGGGGTCCAACAGGTTGAAGGTCCAAATTGCAGTTTGAAGGGTTGACACGATCCCAGTCGAGGAATAAGATACAATCGGCCATTTTCTAAAAATAAATACATCTGTGTTTTTTCACATCAAGTCTTTTCCATTTTTCAAAATGTCATTAAATAAATAAGGCCGAAGTAGACTAAAATAAATAAATAAAAATAAAATAAAATCAGAAACAACGTTTTTATGACTTAATGGGAACGTTAGCAAAACATTTGTCAGTAGCAGAACATTTGTTTTGCTAGCCTGGTTTCTAACCCACTCAAGTAGGTAATTTCATAATTACTTCTATTGTCTGTTGAAATATGGTGAAAGTGTATTGCCAAAAAAAGTGAAAGCGAATAGTGAGTACGAGTTTAGGCTACCTGTTCAACAATGATATCAATGTCTCTGATAACGTAGCCATTTTCAAGACAAGAAGAGGCTTGAAAAAATCACAAGAGGGCATTACTGATGAATTTTATGTAGTAAAATAAATACATGAACATAACTTGGGCTTGTGTTCACCACAGACCTTAATTCTGGCATTAAAAAAACACAGGTAACCGGAAGTGCTAAAATGCAACTCGTTTCCAGGTTTTGGACTAAATAATATCACAGCCGCATCCCTGCATAACTCTAATATGATATTTAATATGTAAATACTGTACTTTAATAGTCTGTTTCTGTTTGTAACTTTCATCGGATTCCTTAACAAAACAAAACACCGCGAACAAAGATGGATGTTTTGCTATGTGCTGTGCTGCCATCTATCGGTAATGCCGCACAATCGCATGTATAATCTACAGTGTATCCTTTGCGCACTAGGACCCCGAAACAACAACAACACAGGCAGCAGTAAATATGGCAGACAGAGTCTTGTCCACAGATGCTCACAAACTTAATGTTTATCAGGAGCTGCTCAGGTAACTGTCATCGTTTATTCATTGTAAAAACCGTTGTTTATTGTTTGTGCCGATAAAGTTAATTAATTTGTTCGTGATCTGCACTAACACAAGTGATGATTACCCTCGTGGCAATGTGCTGAATACGAAACACACATCATGCTCTTAGACAGCAGCAAACAGCAACACAAACACACTTCGTGAAGCTTCGAAAACATTGCGAATCATTAACAGTGATTCTGATTTGTGATTCAGTACGCTAGCACCTAAGTCACATGATTTCAGTAAACGGCCCTTCCTTGTTTCGAAATGTTTCAAAGTTTCTATAGGCTCTCTATAAAACAAACAAAACAAGCCCTACAATTTAATAAAATGACATATAGGCCTTAAAATGCCTTTATAATAAATGTTTTTTCATGATGAATTGCTCATTGTATTTAATAGAACACCTTCCATAAAAATAGCAATTCGTTTTTTAAATGTGCTTTTATGCACGTTTGTCCTGAGTTTTCCTTGCATATTTACAATGTTCTGACCGACAGGAATGTGATGTGAAATTATTATTATTTATCTTTTTAGAAATGTTTGTTTTTGGGAGAAACGAAACTGTTCGAAGCGTTGAGACCAGCGTGTGGCGCTTCGAAACAGCGAATCATAATGAATCATAACCATTGATTCAATTGATTCTTTCGAGCAGTTTCGTTCCTTCCAAAACTAGCAAACAAAATCACGTATCATGTGAATGACAGATGTTCTCAGTTTAGAGATATTTCTTTGTTTGCAGAATTTTAACTCACATTTTTTTTCGTCCTATCACTGTTGTGGCGCCCATTTTCATGGGTGTTTTTCAGCTATTATTTCAATAATTTCCAATAGTGAATTGCATTACAGTAGAATAATATCTTTCTTCTGTACCACAATGAACAAATGTAATTTCCCCAATGCCTCAGATTATGTATTGCATTCAATGATATTTTGTGGTGGGAATGACATTGCATTTAGGAATGAAGAGAATAAAAGTTATCACTCTGTAGTCTAATATGTGCATATCTTTAATGCACACAAATAATATTTTCACCTTCAAATACTGCTTGACTGAAAATGATGCACAGTACAAATATTCTGAATCTGATCTGAAATATTAACCTTCTTTGTCTCATATTTTTTTCATTTCTCATCTCATATTTCATTTGTTCTGGTGGAAATGACAGACATGGACAGTCATAATTTGTATGCTATCAGAATTGAAGTCTGGTTTTTTAATTTTTAATTAAACAAAAGATGTTAGTGATATTCAAAAAAAAAAACACTTACTGTTTGAAAAAAAAAATGTAGCTTTACTTGACTATCCCTAAATCATTGGTGAAAAAATCATGTTCAGATATGAGTATCAAATATGTTCCCTCAGGCTTTTGCTCATATTGCATATTTTTGCATAAAGGTATTTTGTTCTTCCTCTAGTGTGAGCTTTAAATTCTCCCCATATCACACTAAATGAGCCATAAAAGCCTGATGTGTCATATATATGATATTAAACATAAAACACTTCTGCATTTATTTCTTTTATATTTTGTCTTAAGTGTCAATAAATCGTTCCATTTCAAATAACGTTTCTTCAGACTATTATGTCAGGTTTACAGGTGTCCATTTGTTAAATCTGGATTTATTGTTTTTGTTACACACATGCATTAGTTATATTTGCATATTTTCATTTTTAGCATTTCTTTATATTTGTGTTGGCTTTGAATGCAGTCCGTCAGAGCTGTTTGAGGCGAGGTCCCGGAGCCACAAGATACCAGTGAGGGGTCAGAAAGACTTCCTGCCCGATGGGTCCGAGAAGCAGACGGCTCGTCTGCAGCAAAGTCTGGACGAGCACTGGACGCTCCTGGCCGAGGAGAGGGTGGAGAGACTGTGAGTGATGCCATAAACACACACGCTCTCTAACTGCACAGCTAAGCTAAAGCTAATGCTAAAGCTAACTAACCCGTTTTTGTTTCCGCACAGAGGGAATTTAGTGAAAGCTGTCTGGACCCCTGAGGAAGGACTAGTGGAATTGCAGTCTCCAGCAGTGAGTCCATGTCTAACATCATCTTCATCTGTCCATTGTCAACTGTCTGGTGTTGTTTAGACCATTTCACAAGATGTAAACAACACTGGTCCAGAAGCACTTCCTGTTTCAGTTTTTTAACACTACATAAAAGCTGGGATAAAATACAACCAACAGAACATTTAAAACTGAATCAACAAACATCTTTAAGATGTTTTCTTTACATGTGAAATAAAGAAAATAGTTACAAACTGAAACTGAAGTGTTTCTGGACCAGTGTTGTTTACATCTTGCGAAATGGTCTATAGCCTACCATGAAGCCGGTTTAGGTGGCTAGCCCGATATGTTTCAGTTTAGTTTGCGCCCACCCTGCGTTTTAGACACCATGAAAGTGGTTTGGCTTTTAGCAGTGTTCATCGCCATAGTAACTTACGCTCCACGGCTGACCTGGTCCGGGACAGGTGATGCTCCAGGTAAGGGGTTGCAAACCGAACTTGGACCAATCAGCTGTGAGCAGAGTGACACATGTCTAACGTCACTCCAACTGTTTCTACTCCAAATTAAAGGTCACTACACAGCAAATTATTTTTAAAGACAAAAGACATCTGGCTTTCAGTAATGCTTATTTAGAATGATAATTTTGTATGATTTAGATATTATAAATGTAATTCGCATACCCTTTATCGTTTACACATATACAATTTTAGTTTAGCACTTGGTATCACGCATAGTGTAAATGAATAAATATATAAAGGTTATATTAATACTAGGGCTGGGTATTGACACAAATTTCACAATTCGATTCGATTTCGATTCACAAGCTTGCAATTCGATTCGATTCGATTCAATATTGATTATTTTGGATAGTTACAATAAATGGCAAATTTTCTCAAGGAAATCAAATCTCTTAACTAATGCTGTGAACTACGGGAGTCTAGGTGTAGCCTATAGGCTTCATTAGCCTAATATGAAGGTAATAATGTTTTGTAGCTATACAAACACTTAAATTACACTTTAATTTATTTTTATAATAATACGATTATATGAAATACAAACATTTAAATGGTGGCTGTCATAAAAAAACTTGCCAGATTTATTCAAATATGCATTAAATATTGAAGAACATTAAGAGTATAATGCATATGTAATATGGTGTATATATTTAGCAAAATGCTTCTCTCTGGAGTTATTTTTTTCTAGCTGACTAACGAGTTTATGTGGGTTTTCTGAGGTAAATATGACGATTGATTACAAGCTGTTTAACTGACGTCTTTCCACGGTTGAAACGCTGATTGAGTGAATCAATGTGACATGATACGGATTTCGATAAGTTGTACTCTATATTTTAACTCACTTTCAGATGCTCGTTCATGTTTATTTCGCGCTGTAACTGGTATTATTAAGCCGGAAGAGAGATCAGCGCTGCTGCTTCTCCAGAGCGATCTCACGCCACAGCGCCAAAACACTATTTATGTTTTTGAATTTCTAAAGAAAATGGACGTAATTTGAAAATTGGGACTTTGTTTCATATCAATAGTAACAAAGGACAAAGATTATTGCGATTTTTTGGATGCGAGCAGCCGCGATACAATGTCCCATTCATTCAAATGAAACAGGATGACTAATCGATTCTTGAGACTTAAGAATCGATATCGGTTCGTAAAAATGAGAATCGATTAATATCGAGAAATCGATATTTATTACCCAGCCCTTATTAATATGCTTTAGAATCAATAGACAAAGCTATAAAACTTTTAAGCTTTAAAAGTTCAAATCTCTCAATACTTTTATCAAATGTATAAACTAACGTAACAATTTTTACTTGCACTGAAGACTTTTTCCTCTTCATAGCAAGAAGAAAATAGCGGTTTGCGTAAATTTGTTAAATTTTCTTATATTATTAATATTTTGCAGAAGAGAGAAGTGAATCTCGCTGCTTCTCTCGCGAGAAATGAATCTGAGTCTTTTTCAGCATGTGATTGGATGTTTGCTTCTGATGTCCTAAACTCTAAAAAAGCCTGACTCGATCAAAGCCTGAGTTGACAGAGAAAGCTGATGATCAGGATCATGGTACCAACAAAGCCTGGTTGGATGGGTTTGATTTTGTCAACTCGAAACTAATCGTGCAACCCTGAGTTTGTTGAACTACCATCATGGTACAGGCGCCTGAGGTCGTTGAAAACGCATTCTACCGCATTGCTTTCGTAGACTAAAAGCTCATGTGGTCAGATGCATTCGAACAGCTACAAAAGATGCCTGCTCTCCGCTATTGCGGAGAAATAGATAGATGAAACGATATTTCATGTGTTCAAGCTCAAGCACACCTGGTGCAACTAATGAAGCCCTTGATTACCTGCATCAGGTGTATTTGAGACAACACCTGCTTTGCAGATTTGTGCTGTTGTGCGGGATTATATTCAGAGGAATGAATTATTTTTAGGCCCTGTTTACATGAGAACGCTCACGAAATATTTTATCGGATGTGCCTTTCGTTTACACGGCGACAGGGTTTTTGTGGCTTAAAAACGCAAAAAAGTGAAACCCACCCTCCAGAGTGGAGAACTCAAAAACGCTCCACCGCCGCGTTCCCGACAGTGACGGTTGTACGCAGGCGCGCAGACTTGGTGTTGTTGTGTGGCAGTGCTCCACATCGCCACCTAGCCGCCTGGAGTGCACACTACATCGAATTTTGCGACACCATATGCACGTGGATTTCCCACACATAACACTTGTCTAAACGCAGAATAAAAAGCGATAACGCAACGCCACTTTTGCGTTTTCTCGTCAGATCGTTTCCGTGTAAACACAGCCTTAGACTGCCGAGGTCATTCAAAGTTTCACTTGAAACATTTGTGGTATTGAGCTACTTCAGTTACCTTAGTTTGATTTGTTCATTGCAAACAGCTGAAAGTGTATACATTTTGCCAATAAACCTGATTTGCAATGGAAGTTGTATAATTTCGATTACAACTGTAAATTGTGTAAACTTATTTCGTCCATTAGATCGAAATATCGGAACCCGCACATACATTAACCCACACATAAGCCATGTTTCCATCGACACGTTTTTATCCGAATTAAGTGATATCGAATGAAAAATGCCTTATGGAAACAGTAAAATTCGATGAAATTTCATGAAAATCGACTCAAATGAAATACGTTCGGTCTCATCGGATTTTCTCTTGATCGATATACGGCTAATGCGATTAAAGCTGATGGAAACGTTATTTGCCGAATAAATAATGAATTGCGATTAAGTTTTAGGCCCTTTTATGGTTGCAACACGCCAGAAGACGAGTTCATTTCCGGCCAGTCTGTTTGCGGACACATGGCGGATGTCAACAAAGACAGATGTAAGTGGACAAAGCAAAAAGATGCTTCAACCAAAGGGTTTCTGTGAACCACGATCTCCCAGAACTGATGGAGCGCTGTCGTTCCCAAACCACAGTCACCTCCGCTGTCGTCGGGCATACGTGCATCGGCATCATCATAGCAATGTTTATAGCGTCGCTGTTTTCTTAGGTTAGTTTTGCTTGTTTTTACGTGGCTTGGTTGAATTGTAATGTAGAATGTGGTCTGTTATTTCTAGTTAACAGACTGCGGCGTTGCTATAACACACCGTTGCCATGGACGCAGTTCAGAGACGGAACCGACTATTTTCTTTAGCAGAAGCAATACTCGTTTTTAAATCAATATTTTGTGTCAAATTATTTATTTATTTAGTTGATTTATATGTAGGCTAATAAGCAGGATAATATATAGCGAGGCGGTTGTTATAGCGAATACAACCAACAACCGCCTCGCATACATTATCCCATTCATATGTCGCTATCAGCTGGCACATAAGCATTATTAGCCTTCAACTTGTGAAATATTGATCATTTTTGGTAGCTGGCGCGATCCGTTTTGTCTAACAAAACTTTGTTCGCAAAAGTTTGCTTGAATGTTGTTCGATTCAGTGCGAAAATAAATGGAAACACCTTAAAATGTCTCAAATCAATTCGATATACCAATTTGATCGCAAAACAGCATGTGACGTCATTACTTACAGGTTTTTATTCGCTTTAAAGCCGTTGGATGGAAACACACTTTCACCAGCTTTATCCGCATGAGGTTTTTAACCGAATTTCAGATAATTCGATTGACAAGTGGATGGAAACATGGCTTGTGATGAAGAAATCAGGAGTGAAGTGGTTGAAAGTGGACAAAAGAGACCAGGTTTAAACTGGAATGCGTTTCCCTCGTCTACTTGTGATCCGATCGACCAAAACGCATCATAATAGCAGGAGTAAACAGGGCCTTAGAAATGATCATGTATTTTTGCAGGGGAAATTTTGGCAGACGATGGGTTTTTCAGAGAGAGGCAAGCAGTGCCTGCGTCCCGAAGAGGCTCTCTACCTCATGGAATGTGTGAGTGGACATTTCCAATATCATATTTATATCACGCGATAATCTTTTATTATGGGAACTGTGTGTTTATGCCATGAGGCAGTCTTCAGTGTCACATGATCCATCATCCTGATGTGGCTGCTCACGAAACATGATTATCATCAAATGTTGAAAACGGCTTAGTATGTTTGTGTAAACTGTATCTTTGCAATGTTTTCTTCCTAATTCAGGGCAATGTGCAGGTGTTTTACCGGGACCTTCCGTTGTCCATTCAGGAGGGATATGAGCGCTTTCTCTCCGCTGAGACTGTGACTCTTCATCAGTATCAGGTTTGTCTCCACTGTCACCTGATAAGAAAACACTCTTCTTAAAGGTGCACTCAGTCATTTTTGCTGTTAAAAATGTTTAAAATAAGATACATAGTCACCGTCACTGGAACAAAGAAGAGCTAAACTTTATACAGATTCATACGTGTAATTTGTCTTCCTTCATTTAGGTGTTTGGACATTTGAAAAGGCTTGGGTATGTTGTGAACAGATTTGACCCCAGGTAAAAATCATGCACTTATCCAAATAATCAATTGCGCTGGCGTGTACCGAAATGATGATATTTCACATCAGTGTCCAATAAAAGTTGTCTTTCACACAGTTTAGTCCCATCCACATATGAGAGACAGCTGAATCTGCCCGCATCATCATGGGACAAGCAGAGAAAACAGCTGAAGAGGAAACGCTCTCAAAGTCCTGTGTCCAGGTACATGTCATGTCTTCTCCAGCTCTCATGTGTATGAACTATTACATAGATCAAATTTTGATTTATGAGTACCGAATCTTGAGTACTTATACTCTCTATAGGTACTCAATATTAACATGAGATTGGCCGTTATTTTATGTGCCCTCGAACGAATTGGTGTGTCGTCATTTAGAACAAAATCAGGCCAAAACAAAGTTTGTTTAGTGTTCATTTTGGGAGTTTGAAACAGCTTGCCAACTTGATGTAATTGGTGGGTGTGGCTCTGAGACTTAAATTTGCATTTTTTCGTGACGTTTAAGGGGAAACGAAAATTTACGGGGAAAATATCAATCCGCGGCAACAATTTAAAAGTAGTCCGTACAAGAATCTCTTGTACCGACTTGGCAACGCTTTCCGCAATCAACGTTCACATTTTGCTTTAATCGTGACGATCGTTAGAGATTCTGTTTAATTGTGCAGGAGCTTTCTTTTAATTTGAGGGGCATTTTTGTCGCATGTCAAGTCAAAAATTACAGATTTTTTTTTTATTTCAATATTTTAGTTTGATATTGTTTTTTATGTAATTTTTTTTTGTAATTTTATGGGATTTTATAGTACTAAATTATATTTACGATGCATCTATAATTCATGTATTCATTTTTTCTTAAAAAAAAAACAACTTAAACTATTATGAAAAATGCACAAAAATGATATTGAATATGATATAATAATTTGATATGAAATGTATATTTTCAAAAAGACACATTTTACTCTAAAACGGCAAGAAAGTCAGATTTTGTTTGGCCGCAGTACCAAATGTCTCCACTAGAGGAAATTCATCTCCCATTAATTTCCAATTCCGTAATCACAAGGAGCACAAGTGTGAGTATTTTTTTTCAGGACAATTTAACTTTTGTTATCCATGATTTTTTTGGTTCACATAGCAAGTGCCAAAACCTTTACCAAGTTTCGTATCTTTCCGATAAAAATAAATTAAACAACTATATGTAATTTTTGTTTTTGGGATTAAAAAATAACCGAAGAACATTAAGTTCTAACCATAGACTGTAAAAAAACATGGACATAAGTGTAGGTTTCTGAAGAGCTGTTTTGAAGCCCAAAGTGGGCGGAGCCGGCCGTCGCCATCTTGGCAGCGCGTCACCGCACGTCACTCCCGGATAAACAAAAATGGGCAAAGAGGCGGATTATCTGAGGTGATGTGACGGCTAAAAGACAGCAGACAAACGGCTAATGACAGCAGTGGCAATCCATCTGTCACTCAAGTGGCCACGCCCTTAATTATGCACAACTTTAAGGCTTGATATAATTTAAATGGATGAGTTTTAAAAGAATTCACCACCCACGCAGTTGTCATGAAGGGCAAAATTATCTATATAGACCAAAACCACCATTTGCACCAGGCTGTAAACATATTCTTTTCTGCTGTAAAGTTGGGCATTTTAACATGGGGGTCTATGGAAATGAGCCTGCCTCTAGCGGCCAGTCGCTGAACTGCAGTTTAAGTCACTTCCGTGTTGGTTTCAAGAGAGAGGTTGCTTGGTTCTTACTCAGTATTCTCATCTCTGTCTTGATCGGCTTCAGTGACAAACAGAACACGTCACCAGTGGAGAAGACGACAGCCGAAGACCGAAGTGACGAGCTAGTTAAGAGCAGCGAATCGCCCCTGCGGTCCGCTGATGCCTCTGACAGGACGTGGTGGATGGAGAGGGATGTCCAGCCTCCACCTCCTCAATCCCAGAGCGCAGCTCCTCGCTGGGACTTCAGCAGCATCTCTTTCCCAGACCTGGGCTCCCATAGGAGCCGCTCCGTGTGCCTGGCGTCCCCAGACCGTAGCCTATTACCCGGCGCTCTGGAGGTGGGCGACTGTGACGTGGCTCCGTGGCTCAGCAGACTCAACATGAAGCAGGAGAAGCTGTCGCGGCGGGACAGGGAGCGCCAGAGAGAGAGCGATCGCTACCGCAGGGATGTTAACAGCGACCGAGAGGTGCGGCGCTGCAGGAACTGGGCGGAGTATTTCCAGCTGATGGAGGACAGGAGGAGACGGGGACGGAAAGAAAGACCCGCGCATCTGTGGGAGAGGGAGGTGACGCCGCTCACTCAGCCCGGCCAGTGCGCCTCGCACCGTAAGAAAACACTCGTAGACTTTTAGTGACTAGGTTCCTAAACGACAGTGTCAGAACGGACCTTGTCCCCCATTGTTTGGTCAAACAGATATCCTGTCTCAAACTCACAACAATTGGCCACTCAAAAATCGCATCCAAAATAAAAGTTTGTGTTTACATAATATATGTGTGTGTGCTGCGTATGATTATTTTGTCTATATAAATACACACTCATGCATGTATATATTTAAGAAAAAATGTGTTATTTATATATAAAATATTTATATAATATGAATTATATATACACACTCACCTAATGGATTATTAGGAACAAAATAATTATACGCAGTACACACATAAATTATGTAAACACAAACTTTTATTTTGGACACGATTAATCGTTTCACTGCCCTACTTGGTTTAGAAAATACACGTCACTTTAATGTGTTCGTGTTTTTTTTTTTTTTCTTCTATGACTTCATGCATCCACAGTCTGCGTAATATCGGGTGAAGCTAACATAAGAATAAAGAAACATTTGGTTATTCTTTCTAATGAGGTTTATTACATGACTATCAACAACAACAACAAAGAAGTTTAGATTTGTTAATATTAGTTAGTGAATATCATGATTTCAATAAACAATAATTGTTTATAGTATTTATTAATCTAGTTTAATAATAAATATAATATTTTTCTAAATGAAAGAAATGTAAAGACATTTTAGCAATAAATTAATCGAATAAATTGGTATTAACAGTTTTTTTTGTATTGTTTATACACCATCATAGTATTTAATAAAACTTTAAATTAGATTTTATTTCATTTTGACATTATTTGTATATTGCAGTATTTTAATGATATGCTGTTTTTTAGCCATTTCTACATATCCTTAATGTATTTTTATTTGTTTCAGTTTTAGTAATTTTTTGTAATTCTTTTTTTCAGTTAATTGCAAAGGAAATTATTCTTATCTTCGAGTACGTTTTAAAAAAAAAAAACATTTTTATTTTATTTTATTTTTAATAGCGGTAGTTTTAGATAACAACAATAACAAGTAATAAATTGTTAAATGAAGAAAATATAATATAATATAATATAATAACAGTGATATTATATTGTTTGTTCATGCTTGTTCAGAATACATTGAGTAATAGCAATTAATATTTTAAATGTTAAAAATGTATTTGTATATAAATTAACTAAGATTGATTTTAATTGTTGACCATGTAAGACCATGATGCCTAATCCATTAAGCAATTTTATTCTTAATGTTATTTAAATGCGTTTTTTTTTTCAATGTAATGTTGTTACTATACAAATTATAATTTAATTATATGTAACAAATGAGATATTTGTGAAATGCATTTTTCGTTGTTAAAATAGGTTTGTAATGATGTTTTTCAATTATTCTATAGTGAGGTTTCAGTGTCAAACAGATAAAAACTAGACGATTAGGTTTGTTTGATATATGATCTTGGTTTTTTGTGCTTAGAAAATGTAATGTTTGTGAAAGATGCCTGTTATTGGCTCACTCTCATGTGACATTCATCTTTTTTGTGTTATTGTGGTGCAGGTGAACTGCTGGACCAGATCAGCATTGTCAAGTCTTCGAGCTGGTCTGAGGGGGTTTCCAGGTGGATAAGCCCATCTGTACTGTCCTATTCTTTATCATATTGACAGATGAAATTAAACACTGTCAGAGTAAACCTGCTAGCTTTCTCCTGAAATTGACAAAGAAGTCAGATGAGCCTTTGAGAGGATTGAACTGCTGTTTTAAACCATCTTTTTTTTCAGGTTGTCCCCGTCAGACCAGTGGAAGATTAGTTTTGATGTTTACCAACCGGACACGGTGGCGGAGTTTAAAAAGAGCCATCCTGGAAAGCCTTACAGCCGCATGTGTGTCTGCAGGTAAACACACTGACACAATACACTGAAATGAGTCCAGTCATTCATTACTTGCTGAAATGATTGTCTTTTTCCTGCTGTGTGTGTTTTGTTATTTTGCCTTAGTTATACAGTGTCTGGTTCACACAGACTCCTGATTCATGCTGGAAAATTGGTTTTATGATTTTGCCGTTCTTAGCAATGACATGGAGTAAGCATGAAGTCATAAAAATGTTTGAAATATGTGATTTGGCCTCATATTTTTTTTTTAATCAAGATTAGACATAACAAATTTAGTAATTGCTGGAGATACTGAAAATACATTATTTTACAACTCAAGTAAATACAAAAGTTTTAAAGTCCCCTGTGGCAAAAATCAAACTTTTAATGTTCATATGTGGTGTTTTTAATATGCTTTAAGACAAACCACGTGTAAATTCATAAGTCGACACCATTGTTGAGTATTTTCTCGCTGTACTTTAAATCGCTGGTGTTTCTGACGTCACAAACTACCTCAAGCTATTTTAAAACATTTAAAGGTGCAATACCTAAGATTTAGAAGCCGCTAGAGGGCGCTACATTCAAAACAACAACAACGGCTTTGCTTGATGACGCCGTGGAGGAACGTGTAATGATGGGAACTGTTGTTTTCAACTCCACCGTGGATAAATCAGTCAGACGGGAATCGAAAAGTAGTTGTCATGGATGAGGTAAAGTTCGATTTCTATAACTGTTGCGTTTAATGACATGCTCGTTTTTCCTTAAACTGAAATAACCGCGAGAAAAGTAAGGTTTAAAAGTAAATTAGTTATCACAGATGTTAGGGGAGAGCAGGGACGGTTGAAACACTTTTCAGATAAACGTCGTTTTCTAAGATAAAGCCAACAGTTCACATTGCGAGAAGTATTCGCGGTGAAAATGACCTTACGATTTTTCACATCATATGCATAGACAACAAGACATTCGAACAATAATACTAATTGTTTTGCATCGTTTACTGACATGAAATTTGAATACACGCACAACTACAACTACCGCATTTGTCCAGGACTACACGGATATGACGCAATTGACTGGCGACATACGCCCCGTTTCCTTGGTTAAAATCTCAATTTTCTCGCGATTTAAACATTGTTTGAAACATTTGGAATATTGTAAGTTGTCATCTTAACTAAATATATAACACTGGCCTTGTGATTTTGGTATATTTTAATGCAAAAATCTTAGGTATTCCACCTTTAAGGAAAATTATTTTAAATAACATGTTGGTGATCAAAGATGAATTTTAAGGGATAAAATTATAGCCTATTTTAACAGAAGAAATAATGTAAATGCTAATTATTAGCTTCGCCATTTTGCTGTTAAATCCTCTTAAATATCATAGTGGTGTTCCTGAATAGTAATTTGACCAACTTGGTGGTCTCTAAGGCAAAATCTATAGCAAAAATACACATTTGAAATGGCTATAACGTCTGAAATCTTTGTCATATAAACTAAATTCTTAGTACACTTTGATCACATTCAATATCTCACATTAAGACTTCAGCTGATACAGTGGCCGTTCTGAAATTTATTTTTTTTCACTACTCCACCTTTAAATGTGGTCCAATTCTCACCAAAATATCAGAATTTTGATGCACCTTTTTCTGCAAAAGAAAAAAAAAAGAAAAAGTTAACGACATTGACCCAAAATCCGATTAGATGCTATATGCTAGCCAAACTTTGATCATTTGAAACGAAACTTGGTACACTTTATCAGCACCCAGATCTGAGGGTATATGCGTATGTTGGGGAAAACTAACTAGCACATTACAAAAATTGGCTATTTTTGCTCATAACTTTTGAAATCTTTATCAGAAAGTCAAGATCTTGGTGTCTGCAGATTCGAATCCCTCGATACCAATTTTGCCAAGATCAAATTGCTTGTCCACCATTTTGAAATTTTACATAAATTGCAATATCTTTTAAACAATTTGACGTTATCAGGAAAAAAATAGGAAGGGATCATTGAGAGCAATGTCTTTAAGGTACCTGAGGAGTTTGATCACAGCGCCACCTAGTGTTCCGGAGATATAAGGATTTTTGCAAAAAACGCTTAACCTTTGAAAACATCCTCTAAATTTAGTTTTCTGAGCCTTGACAGCTGGTTGAAAGCAAGTCTTCCTTGTGTCGCCCAGTGATAAGCGACAAGATCCAAGTATAATATCACTTTTTCATGTAAAAAATGCACTACTTTAACTTAAGCAAACCATGATGTATGAGTGTTGTGATGTGTAATGTTAGCGGTTTAAAGACTGTTTGATCAAATGTAAAGTGTTAAGTCTTGTGAATTTTGCAAGATTCATAAAGTTGCCTAAATAAAGTCCATGCCAATAATGGCCTTGTTAAGAACTTGGCCCCGTAATTGCTGCTTTCAGCTATATTTATTATTATTATTAAGTGACAAGAAATTTCTATAGTCTGAAAAGGTCCCGTTCTGAGCATGCCAACTGATTCATGTCTTCGTTCATTGGCAGTTTTGACGGTCCCGTGCCTGATCTGCATGCCATGAAGCAGCTGTCCTTCCAAAGTGGAGATGTCCCAGTAACGTTTGCAGTGGTGGATCATGGTGACATCTCTTTTTACTGCTTCAAGGATTTCAAACTTCCTACCGATGTGTATTAAAGGAGCATATCTATAACTGTATGGGAAAAAATGTGTATCTCAGGGTATTAGTGTTAGTTCACCCAAAAATGAAAGTTCTGTCATCTTTTGCTCATCCTCATTGACTTCCATTGTATTTTTTGACTTCATTTGGAAGTCCATGTTTGATTTACAACATTTTTCAAAATATCATCTTTTGTGTTTCACAGAAGAAAGAAAATCATACATGTTTGAACGACATGAGGGTGAGTAAATGGTGGCAGAATTTACATCTTTGGGTGCACTAACCCTTTAATTACATTTTAATAGAAAACTGTTAAGAATTTGTCATGTGCAAGTTATGCCAAAATACTACACCAGCATTTATGACATCAAAAATATCTATTGTTTGGACAGAAAACATTAAAGCCTACTTTGGTCATTTAATAATGTATTGTCTTCAGGATCATCTCTACTCGTTGGATTTCATTAAAATGGTTTTTATCGAAGAAACATTTCATTTTGAAAAAGCTTTCAGGGTATCATGTTTAAGTTTTGTTTTTGGATTTGTTTGTGTACTACATATTGGGAATAATATTTGGATATCTTGGACCGGTTCACATATATTGGTGATGGTGGTTCTTCATCATTCTCTGTTTATTTATTACTGTGCTTCAGTGGAAAGGCCGCCACAATACAAATATTGTGTAATGAATTGTAAAGATAGATGAGCATTTCAAATGGTTAAAGTTTGGCATTGGAATTAAACGAATAACTCAATAGAACAATCTGTTTTATCTGATGTTTATCAATAAGTGTACATATCTACAGTGGTGTGAATAAGTGTTGGCACCCATGCTAAAGTTGCCTAAAAAGAGGAATAAAAAATCATCTTTTGGATATTGATCTTAATGCCTTAATTAGAAAAATGACGAAAACTCCAACCTTTAAGGACACCAATTTTCTTTGTGAATGAATAATGTATCATAAATAAATAAATGTTTTTCCTTAAAATACTGGGTGCATAAGTCAGGGCACCCCTATGTTAAATTCCCATAGAGTCAGGCAGATTTTGGTTTGATTTGCATTGAAATATGATCTTATGGAAAGTTCCCCATGCCAATCTCTAGGTTCGGTGGAAGGTGTGTGATGATGTGGGGATATTTTAATTCCAAAGGCCAAGGGAACTTTATCAGGATGCATATTATCCTGGATCCATGAAATAACTGGCTTTTAAAAATAAAAATCTGTCTGACTCTATGGGAATTTAACATAGGGGTGCCCTGACTTATGCACCCTGTATTTTAAGGAAAAACATTTATTTATTTATGATACATTATTCATTCACAAAGAAAATTGGTGTCCTTAAAGGTTGGAGTTTTCCTCATTTTTCTTATTAAGGCATTAAGATCAACATCCAAAAGATGATTTTTTTATTCCTCTTTTTAGGCAACTTTAGCATGGGTGCCAACACTTATTCACACCACTGTAGGTGTTGCCTTGTTTGTGAATCCACACACCCACATCTCTGCATCCATTCTTGGATGAGTTTCCAAGTTAAAATTGCATTTTGAGTTTGATCTGTTTATTTAGCAAGAGCTGTCACTCAATAAAAAATTGGGACACACTTTTTATTAAGTGTCTAAAACTATGTACTAAACTATTCATTTGACACAATGCACTCGAGTTAGTTCACATAGTGTAACAATGCAGAAGCCCAGAGAAGGAAATGAACAGTTGAATAAAGTTATTATTATTATTTTTTTTTTTTTTGCGCACAAAAAGTATTCTCGTCGCTTGCTAACCTTAAGATTGATCCACTGTAGTCATTCGGACTATTTTAACAATGTCTTTAAAAACTTTCCTGGCAAGTTTCGATCCAGCACTCAGATTTAATCAAAAATATCTTAATTTGTGTTCTGAAGATGAACGAAAGTCTTACGGGGTTGGAACAACATGAGGGAGAGTAATTACGGACAGAATTTTCATTTTGGGGTGAACTATCCCTTTAACCCACACTTAAACCTACACTTACCACCAAACCTGTCCCTATAACCTTAAGCAGCACAATTGTTTTACAAATACATCAACTCTAGAAGTGCATTGTACCCAACAAATATTATTATGCAAGTCCATAGTAGTTAGACACCTGAACAAATTGGGACCAAAAACAATAATCAATTTCATTTCGTCAAATGTTGTTTAATTAACTTACCCACATATACGCTCATAATAGTTTAAACTGACATAGTAAAGCATTAATTAGATTAGTGTTGAAGCCCCAGTGAAACTGTACACCACCTCAACTGACACGTCTACCCTAGCTCCATCTGTATGCCTTTGGAAAGCTATACTGAGTCAATAAAGCATTGCCCACTATATCAACAGCTGAAGTGGTGATATAAGAACTCAATTACAGTTGTGTACATTCAACTTGATGTCACTGCATGGACAGAGTCATACAGGTGGATATGAATCATGGTAGATACTACATCATAATTTATATTCATGGCTGATTAAGTTGTCAGTAAGCAGATTTCTCATTTCACATTCATCCGTCAGTGTAATGAACTGCTGTTTCAAAGGAATCAGGCATTAGATTACAGTCAGTTTTACACTAATATTACTTGTAAACGCTGGCACAATAGACTGACCACGTGTAACAATAAGGCCCCGTCCACACTACTGCGTTTTCGTTTAAAAACGGAGAATTAAAACGAATACGATCTCCGTCCACACCAGCGTTTTATCTGCATGTTAGAATTGATCTCCGTCCACATTAAAACGACTGAAAACGCGGGTCACGTGACCATTCACCAACACTGGGTATGCGCGTGCCGATGTAAACGGTTGCTGACGAATCAGGGAAGGACACGTCAGTAAGGGTTAATGCCCGACGAGGTGTCCATTGTCAGGTTTTAATGGACGACGGCGAGGCGTGAACCGGCCGACGCGCAGCGGAGGGCATTAACCCGCTTATACCATGGTCACTTGCCAAATAAAACATTTTTAAAACATTAGCTGCTAGTTTATATTTTAATTAGGCTAAATCTCTTTTACAAATAATAACTCGCCTGGTTTATTTAGCAACCGGAGATATTTTATAGTCCGCTCAGCTTGTAGATCCCTTCAGGTTCAAAAATGCATTTTTTTTTTTCATGAAACACAAAGGTAGGCATAGTTTTTTTTTTTTAATACACATAAAACAATTAATCAAACAGGCTTCTTAGGCTTGAAACGCTGTACTCTCCTCCTGCCTTGGTTGTCCGCACTGCTGCGTAAAACTCCCGCAGGTCTCATTCAGAGCAGCAGCGGTGTCATTTTCTTTGCGACGTTTCTCCGTTTTATTTACATTTTTTCTTTCTTCAGCAGCATCCCAGTCATCAAAGTTGTCATATTCTCCATAAATGTTAAAAGAAATAACGAAGTCGCTCATTGTTGTATTAGTAGGCTATGTATCTAACTAACGTTAGATGTTTGTTTTGATAGAGCAAATTGTTAACGGATACTTTGACTGCCTGTTGCTATGGTTACTCACAGCTGTTGTGGGCAGCGCATTTATTTATTCATTTCGAACGGTAAACAGGCAGTTTCACCAGAACTACTTTACTAGGTGTCCTCTATCACTTTTTAACGGACACCCTGCAGCCAATCAGAATCGAGTATTCACCCAGACCATGGTATAATGACTGATAACACCCAATCATAGAGCAGAGCGTGAGCCTCTGCGTCATCGTTTCTAAACTCCTCCGTTTTGACCCGTCTTCACTAAAACGACCTCCAGAGATTCAAAACGCAAAACGGAGCTGCAGCGTTTCTAAACTTCTCCATTTTAGGTGTTCGTTTTTTCCGTTTTAGTCTGGACGGGAGGTGCAAACGTAGCAAAAGGTCTCCGTTTTTAAACGAAAACGCAGTAGTGTGGACGGAGCCTAAGATAAAAGTATTTGTATTTTGTTGTTTCTTAATAACAAACAAGTTTAAGTTTCTTTATATTTTATTTTAAGTAATGAAAATGATTTTGTATGGTTTTCGTTAATGATAATTACTTTAACAATGATAGTGTTAATTGTTAAAGGAATATTCAGAGGTTCCATTCAAGTTAAACTTAACAGCATTTGTATTACCTCCCACTCCTGTGTCGAGCTGCCAGATGACACCGTGGGTTCCCATCATGACCACCCACTCGGCGCTCTGGATGGGGATCAGATGTCAAAAGCTGCATCAGATAGAGGGCTATGGTTTTCTGGAGAGGAAGATGCGGCTGAGCTTCTTGCTTCAGCTGTGTTCACTGATGCTGAATCAGATTCAGAGTTGACAGCCATGCTTGCCCGGGCCGCCGCCTTTCTTTGCCAAATGACATTGTCAAAATCTGCTTCAAAAAGTTCTTCCTCTCTCACTACCCTAAACGGTGGATCAGTAAGGGGATTCTTAGGGATTCCCCTGGTGGAGTGTGTGATTGTGGTGCATTTATGCTTGCAAAGTGCTGCCACCTGGAGGAATCGTCCACAACACCTGTCCAGCGCCTGTGAGACGACTGCAGCTCTGGCTGCTATGCTAGGGTTTACAGTGCCGATGGACAGGCCACCTTCGCCTTGCATGCGATGGCCATCCTGAAAGTCCACCAGACCACTTGTAATGCAAAAGGGTATTTCAGAGCCAGAGTTGAAGCAGGAACTGTGCATGGGTGACGAAAGGTCTTTGCCCAGACAATGTCCACCTTTGTGGTCCAGGAGCTCCATCTCTGGCTAAACTTTGGAGACATGCGAAATGTTGACAGAGTGCGTTTTCTTGACGATCCCGTCTTCAAGGTGGCCTTTTCGGTGACGCTGTCGAGGACTTTTCACAGCAGCTTTCAGCAGTCCAGAAGCAGACTGAGGCATCAAGCCCCTCCACAAGAAGATGATGCAGTCCATCCCCCAGGCCACCACTAAAGCTTCTTCACGGTCAACGCAGCGGCCCTGAGATGGGCGACCAGAGATGGAGGGGACCAACTGTTGCCCAGGTGGTGGTGAACGCACCTCTACTGTTCCCGGAGTCAGGGCTAGGCATAATATTTTTTTGTTACAGTTCTGAAAGACTGCTTTTTCAATTATCAAAGAAAGAGCGGTTTCTTCACTATTCGGTACACACAGGGTGTGCGTTGGCAGTGAGAGACGCACTGCTTCCTTGCTCTCAAACCCCCCTCTTTTCAACACACGCTAGGAGTTCGCACTTTGAGGATTTGCTGCTTTTGTTAGACATATTCATGATGTTATCTGATGTTATTGAATTTTACCTGTGCCGCTCCTACTTGATTTCTAAAGGGTGTCAGAAGCCATGAATGAAAGGTATAGCCACTTTCCCCCAACAGTAAAAAAAAAGAAGTAATTTCACACGTGTAAATTCGCTGACACAGGGCTAAGGCTGCTAGATGGACAGCTCTGCAGACAGTGGATTTGACAGTGGACAGACTGAAAATAAGCAAGCAAAAAACCTCAAAACAATTAACTAGAAACACTGCTGGGGAGTGCATGACTACACTGGGTTTGGTGCTCAATGATAGGCTCGAGTGTTGCGGTGAGACAAAGGATTGACTGACACTCAAACCTTTATTCCCTCCCTAATTGGGTATCACTCATAGTCTCCAATTGATTATTTGGAATATAAAAAATGTGCCTAGGTAGACCCTCTTCTTCAATGACATGTTTGGGTGTAAAAGAGCTTCTCAGTTTTTGTAAGTAAAGTTTTTCAGTTGGCTCATCACTTTGTGCCAAATATCACGAGGGAATTGCTCACAATTGCTCAATTA